AAATAAATTTAAATATATTAAACTCAATAAATTACGAAATATTACATGACTGAAAGTTTTAAATAAATATTATAAACGAATTGACACCATAAATTTTTGTAAACTACGTTAATCTACCCGTAAACTTTCGAAATTCTTGTATTTTCGTAAGTTCTACATAATATTACACCGTAATATTACAAAGTACTACGCCGTAAACTTTCAAAATTCTTGTATTTTCGTAAGTTCTACATAATATTATACTGTAATGTTATGAAGTACTACGCTGTAAACTTTTACATAGTTTACATTCCATAATATTATGTAGTACTACATCATAATGTTACAGAATATATACAATTTACGTAATCTTACAGTGGTCTCGTAAGTTTTCGTAATATTACAGAATGTAAGTTTATGCAATATTACGTCCTATTAAATTTACTGATGTGATTATATAATCAATTTACAGGTAGTGTACAAAGTACACAAAGAATTGAATCTATTAATATATATATATATACCAAAAAGTTGATTGTGCACCCTCTTTATATGATTTATTAATTAATATTAAAGATCATGTTAATCAGGAAGAACATTTAATAAAATTTAAGATTCAATTCAATGCTCTTCTGTCTGTTGGATTACCAATGACAAATAGCTGATTCTTTGGTCAAGTTGATGAAATATTAAAGAAATTTCTCACACCTATTATGCTTGGTAAATAAAGAAATCAAATGAATAAAAGTTTATATTATGATGTTATACAAATTCATGAATGGCATAAGATACTTGAGATAAAGATATGATTTTATTTTTGATTTTATTATAGTCAATTATTAACTTGATTAAATACATTCTTTTTTTTAGACTGATATAGATAATGAAGAAATCAGACTTTAGATTAGAGAACAGGATTATGATACAAGACAAGTTTTTTTTGCATTCTTAATTCAAAATGTATTATATGATATGATTATTCAAATATGGCATATAAGAGTTACTGGAACTATAGGACTTGACTATTATGTGTTAATATTAAAAGATAGTATACATCTTTATATATGTCATCTTTTAATTAATAAAGGTTTAATTTGCTGACACTTTTTTAGAGTTGGTACATATTCTTTATTAGCAATATTTTATATAACTCTTATTTTAAATCGATGGTACTTAAAACCTAATATTAAAGTAGATGATCTTATTTCTCAAATACCGGTAATTTTTATATTTATATCTGCTCAATAACAAGAATCTGATATTAATTCGGGATTGACATTTCAACACATTTTTTTGATTCGTTCTAATTCAAACAATAATTCAAGATTAGAACCAAAGAAAGTGATTTATGGAAAGCTAATAGGATTTTCTAAAAAAGTGGTTGATATTGCAATTAAGGTTGAGCAATATTATGAATTATCAGATATTCTCAAGTCATTTTTATTTGAACTTCAAAACAAAGTAGAACAAGTACAAAATGATAATGTAAATGTTATTAATCCTAGTATTATAGCACATAAAGGATGTCTTCCTAAAAGGCTTAAATCTAGTGTGAAACAGGTATCTTATAAAGCTAAACATCTATTAAGTTCTAATATAGAACTTAATATAATTAATGGTTCTATAGAAGATACTAATGTTGTTAAAGATCATAAATGTAGTAAATGTAAACATTTAGGTCATTATGCTAAAACTTGTATGAATTTAGTTTAATAATTTTTAATAAAAAAAATATATAATCATGTGATTTGTCAATCAATCATCGGGTTTATACACCTAGTGTTCAAATAGAAATTTCCTTTTATTATTTATTTATTATAGAATGTTAATATTATTTTTTAAGTTCAATTTGATAATTGCAATAATAATATGAAAGCTTTTTAATAAAGAAAAAATTTTTAAAAAAAATATTGTTTTTATTTTATAAAATAAATATTATCATATGCATGTTCTCTTTATTATCTTCTCAAAATACAGTAATAATTCAATGTTAAGTTCAAGCATTTTTTTCTTCATTTAAATAAGTTAAAGATTTATATATGGCTTCAGTAATATCAAATATCATTGGTTATTTATATTAATCTCTGAAGTCACATGTTATCCGATACCATTTTCCGGGCGGTAATTATTTAATTAGTATGATCATTAATAACGAAGTTATGTAAAGTAACTTTGTGATGCATAGCATAAAATTAATTCAACCCAAGATATAAATACATTTGTGCTCAAAAATATAATTACTATGTGTGTTTTTTTTTTGAGATTTAGTGTATTTTCAACACTAACTACTTCACATCTTTTCCTCCTTGAGCCCTTGTACCAAATTGACCTTCGCCATAGATATTGATGTTATTTGAACCGACGAAATCGTGAGCCATTACGATGAATTTCGTTCTTGAAATTTTTCTTATAACAAGTGTACAAAACTTGTCTGGATAAATTTTCATAATATAAATTAATTCCCAAATACTTCATTTGTTTAGAATTTTCTTAATCTGATCAAAATCCGGAATATTACGCACATACTTAATTTGTTGATTTGGGGCGAATGGTACCTTTCGATCATTATAATCTTTCGCAAGTTCAGATCTGTAAATGTATATATATTACTATAAATTCTAAAATAGTAAAACGTGATATCATGGCTTATACAGTACCTCTAAGGCGACATAATGTGCAAAATTCGATTCGACCAAAGGCAAACTCGGTTCATCTATCAACAAGTTTTGAAAGCCCATGATCGATATATCCCGTCGTATTGTAGGTCCAATGATATACGATTTTATGACATCACCTGTAATTTTCAATAAATAATTTAGTAGATAATAAAGAGAAAAGTTGTGGATTTATAAGAATAAACTAGAACAAACCACAGTTAAGGAATATGGCTGATTCTCCTGGACCACCTTTTGAAGACAAAAGTTGATTGATAGTCTTTCCTGACTGTACATGAGCTTTTACAATATCCTTTTTTGTTTCAAAGGACCACATCCTAGGGGCTTTATTTCTGAATTTAACAAAACGATACCATCTACGGTGCATGAAAGATCGGGCCTTTGTTTTGTATCTTTAACGGAGCGATCTAGCCGCACTTCATAATCTTTATTTCTTGTGAAGAAAATCGGATTTATAGGAATTGTGAGCAGCGTTGGCATATTCTGGAATCTGGAAACATGTATTTCATAATATTGGAATTTGATTTGGAATACCGGAATATAAAAAATTATTATGGAATACTGGAAAATTTAAAATAAACAAATACAAATAATAAATTAAATATACATTGATCTAATTGTTTTTTCAAATTATTATCTGTTCAAGTTCAGCTGTTCTCCGTTTCTTGCTTCCACAATTTCATTTACATATTCATCTTTATCCGGATATGTTGTGTTGAAATTTCACACACATATAAATGTTTGCCAATACTAGGGACTGTATTTGACATACTGTATTTATTTTTCGTTTCCCAAGTCCAGCCTTTTACTGTTTTACAATCCCGGCATACTGTTAAATATTGCTTTTGTTAACCATAACATCTTTTTTAATGTGAACAAACTCATAAAAATAGTGGTAAGATTTTCCGACATATTTAGTTTAACGTTAAAAATATATATATATATTTTTTTTGGTTAATCTATTGATCGGGAAAATTCCATAATTATCACGTCCAATTTCGGAAAGCCCGTAACCGCCACACCTTCGGTAAGGACCAAAGTACAGTCCTTAGCATTTCTACCACCAGACTTGTTTGTATCTTCCAATTTCGCGATCCCAGAGATCCTATTAAAAAATATATCGAAATCTAATTAATATTTTTTTATATCAATTTTCCTCTTTCCACCGACAATTTATTTACTTTTTACTTTTTCCATCTGTCTTCTTTAATTCTCATTAACTTCATCCAGAATGTGATCAACGATATCACATTTGAAAACTAATAAATGGGAGAAAAATCAAAGGTTCAGATTTAAAAAAATATTTTTTACAAGCATAAAACAAAGTAATATGATATTCTATAGATAGTACAATCACCTACGTTTATTAAAGTCGATCACATGTAGATCCCAAATGATGTGGCTTTTTAATGTAATATTTTCTTTCGTCTGGGAATCGAAGGATGGGTTTTCAATCAAACAGTTGATGAGTATCCACATATATTTTTTTTTATATATATTTGTTTCCTTGATTTTTGCCGATGTCAAGATTCTTTCAGCAAGTTGATCTAACATGGGTACCACCTTTTGTAATACATATTTTGCTAACGAAGTTTTTGAATGAAAAGTACATGAATAATATTTAAAACCATTTCATGCAAGATCAAGTATTAAAAAGAAGGAAAAAAACTTACATGATGGAATTGAGAATCATTAGAGGGAAGGGCTCCAATTTCCCATCGTTCACCACATTTATCATATTTTAATGAGGGTTTTAAGTCTTCGTATACAATTGCATGTATCCTTTAAAATTATTGATGTTTATCTGTTCATTATTCAAAAACACACTTTAACTTTCTCAACACACCCCGCCAAGTCATATACACGCTTTTTAAGAGGGCAATTATGTCATTATCAAATCGACTCATTTTGAATTTTTGAAATCCGACTTAAATTTAATCAGAGTGTAATCGCCTTTAGAATGAGCGGTGATAATTGGTTGTTCGATTTCTTTCATGTTGTTCCTGAAAGTATGGATAATTCTTGCGATTTAAAGATGTTACTCCGTACTGAATATGCTCGCTAATTTAGCACCGAAACCATTACGACTCCCGGGGCAATGCCCTCCAGGAAAATGTTTAATATTTTCTAAAATTTAATTAGAATAATCGTATGATAATTAGGAGCTGAGTTGGGGATTAGAAGAGTGGAGTAGGTATTTCAATTGTTGTGATGGTAGTGGTAGTATGATGGTGATAGTGATATTACTGATGGTGGTGCTCCGGTGTTCCATTGGTTGTTCCAGTTCCGGTGAAATTTTCACTGGAAACCGGAATTTCCCATTACTGATTGTGAGCAATGCTCTAAATTTAGACATCGTTTTGACGCGATATCGGACACATTTTCTCGTCTTAATATGTCAAATGAAATTCGTTAAATGAATTCTATTAAATCAATTAATTAATGAAAACTTACAATCATTGAAGATGCTTTGCTCATTTGAGTTTCATCTGAATGCATGAAAGCTTCGTGCAAAGCATTAGAAATTGAAGCTGATAAAACTGGCTCATCGATTGCATATGGGTTCGTTTCAATTATTATCTGCCACTCTTCACTAGTGAAGTTTGAATAAGGACAGGACCGATTGAGAACCATTATGGATGAAAGCGCCCTAAAATTTCAACGTGAAATGGTATTTAGATGCGATTATAATTATGACGGTTCAACTTGCTAATTTCATCACTTACAAGATTTCATATGTGTTATGCCAAGTTAATATAGTTGAATTAAGTTTTTCGAGAGCATTTTGCTGATATTCACGAAATTTTTGTGTAATATATCCACTGATCTTCAAATAATTGACTGTGAGAAATGAAATAAAAAATAAGGAATCAAAGTTTTATCCTCATACCTCGTTTTTTTGGCTTTATATTCTTGATAAGTTCGTTCTTATATTTATGAGATCGTTGCTTTTCACAAATTTCGACAATATCTCTTTTGAGCGACACGCTTTCCTTATCTCCTATAATATTCTGTGAAGAGCAGTGTGTGAGTAACGATTCATCATAGGGAAGATGCATATGATTCCTCCTCCAGAATCAGCAGTCCCTATATAGCAAGATGTGCACGACTCAGAAGCTCTAATGCCTGGACGCTCTTCTTCCCCGTGCTCAAAGGGACAGGGCGTAGCACAGTCACTATGCTCATTACGCGTAAAACACTAACTTTAATTTACGCCACAACGCCGGTGTCATATAGTATTCTTTTGTTCGTAAGCTGTCTAAATCGTTGCGTGGTGTCCTTTTCGTACGTCGGAATACTTTTTATATTAGTTAGTTTTAGTTGTAATAGTTTTTAATAGAATTTTATTGAATAAATTGATCCTTGAGAAATACTAAAATAAATAAAAGGCTAACCACTTTGGAGTAGAGGAGACGCGAAAAAGTTAATTGACCTATTTTGATGCGAAATATCTAATTTTGATTGGTACACAATTGATCGGCATATAATTTACCTTTATATATAAATATAATTTCATCAAAAATTTAAAGAATAAAATAATAAATATAATTATTATTTAAAATTCTATCCCTTAGATTGTAGGGTTTCGCAGGCAAATTTTGCCTACTTATTTACTATAAATTCTTTTCTGATTTACTTTTATAAATAAATAATTAATATTTTTAAAATTTTTTTTTTAAATTAATTATATAAATATATAATATATTATAACAATAAAAAATGTAATATTACTTAAAAATTAAAAATTTGTAATTTTAAAAAAAATTTATTTTAAAAAATTTCATGATTAATCTATGATAAACTTTTTAGAATTTACTTTTAACTATATT